CATGCGCGCTGACTGGGCCGTCGCGCGGTGAGGGGAGGCGCGCCGCTTATAAGTAGGTTAGTGGTGGTGGGCCGCCGGCGACCGCGTTCGGCACTGAAGCACTGACGGCGGTGAGAAGAGCACGCTCACGCACTCGGTGGACCCAGAACACGCAGGTGAGGACCGGTGGGCCCGGACGGCACCCCCGGGGCCGTGCGGTCACGACCCGGGCCGGCCGGCGACAGTGGGGCCGTGAGCCGACTTTGTGGCGGCGTGTTTGCTTTCATGCGTGAGCCGTTGACGGTGCGCAGATATCGTGCGAGATAATAGCCGGGTCACGTCACTGTTATTGCTAGGCCGGGCTCAGCATATTCATATGATACATTTGGGTAAAGACGTGAGAGAACCTTAGCCGTATTTTATAAGAAACTCCCATCTTTTTGTTTAAAAAACTACGTAAAAAAAATATTATCTCCGTGATCCTAGCAACACTGAAATGACCACGCATACTACAGTGTGTTGTGTTGAGGATTCTCACTGGCGTTGCGTTTTAAGAAAAGAAATTCGCCACGAATTAGAGGGAGGACGCATAATTTATTCTCTCATTTACCGTAAAATGGAGGTAGACATGCGGTCACAACATTTTGCCTGATGTCTAATAATCTGCTGGGATTCAACAGACACACCAGCGTAGTAGGAAACAAACACGTGAGCTCCATGACCTTGGAGTCATATGTTTGCTATGAGGCATATTATCTAAACAGACCGGCCTTGTTCGGTGATGGTTTTACTGCCGCCATGTAAGAAGGGATGTTGGCATGCCATCATCGCCAGCATGATCACCAGCTGCAAAGGCCTCATGGTGAGTCATGACTCTCCGATCGGTCGTCGGGCCGTTCTAACACTTTCTCCGGTAACAAGAGGCTGGTCAGAGGCCGCCTATCATTTGCTTAGTGATGATATCACACGCTTTCTTTCACGCCTCCGTGAGCAACAGGTTCCGGAAAGGCTCATATGCTGTTTTCGTTCCGTATGGGGTCAATGCTGTTTTCTGTACAGCAAAGCACATGGTCAATCATCGGTCGACCTATATTCGCTTTCTTCCATTTTATCGGCATGATTTAGCGTTCATGGCGAACTGTATCAGTCCTACGGTCTCCTGGAGGGAGTCACAGTGACGGAGCACGCTTGAGATAGACACAGGCGTTTGTTTGCCGCTTCTTGATCCGACACACCTCCTGACCGCAAACACTCGTATCAGGCATCAGGATCTCCAACACCCTGTCCCTGCCTTCATTTGGTTGACAGTGATATCTACCTTATTTAAAGCAAGATCTGTGAGCTGCTTGTTCCTCAAGACGCGTCAGGTTGGTCTTTGTCTCCTCCCCATAACACAACCCAACATGAACCGTGTTCAATTCATCTATGTTCTTATACGCACCCCCTCCCTCCACCACTGGCATCACTCCTCCATCTTCAGGAGGACCTGAGTTTTCTCCTCGCTTTCTGTCCCCCGCTTCTGCCCCACCCTTGTAGCCTGACCCAATGTCCCCTTGCCCCTCTGACCCCGCCGTCTGTCCCGGCTCGGCCAGCGTGCCGTCGACTTCCCGTTGGTCGCCTCTTCGGCCGGAGCCGGCCGTCACGCTGGCCGAACCCGTGCCGCCGCCGCCGGCCCCGACCTAGGTTTCTCCCGGCGCCCCCACCCGGTGCCGCTTTCTCTGCCGGCCCGGCCCGGCCCGGCCCGGCGCCGGCCCGGCAGGACAATGTTGCGTCCTCCTCGCGCGTGCGTCGGTATCGCGCCACATCGCGGCCGGCTGGTGCGATAGCTTTCCCAGCGGCCGCGCAGCGCAGTCTGCGCCGACGCCAGGACGTCATTAGCGGCGGAGAAAGGTGTACGGCATGACTCGATGAGATCGCGCCGTCTTCCGCGTATGATCGAGGCTTCTTGTAGTCGGTGGTATGGTGTTTTTGCGCATCACGAGCAAAAATGCCAGCATCAACACGCACAAAACAACGGCAAACATTCCCATGAGTTATGCACACTCTCAGTTCGTTTGTCGACTATGCAGTCTGTAAGGCGACGAAATTACTTGTGATGACTGGAAATGAAAGGACTGAGTATTATGCAACTGCTTGTTTCTTAAGCCTATGTTTCGCAAAACCTCCCCTTGTAACATAGCATGATATTTATTGCAGAGGTTTGCCAATGTCATGTGCCTTCAGCCTAGCGTGAAATGATGACATCCAAGATAATGTGAGTGCTTTGCTGGGAAAGTTTCTCACGGCATTGTCACACTCATAAACCAGACCACTCTCTACCGCTCAATGTCTCCCCCACTTCCCACCAAGTTGAGCGAATGAAGAGTGCCGTTTCGGACTCTTCGGGCCCAGCTCCCAGCAAGAGAACATGTTGTCCCAGTCCGCTTACGCTTGCGATCTCCGGGGACAGCTTTCCTTGACTTTGTGCTCGAACACGAAAGCCATTCGGAGCAACCGGTCACATGTCGTTCAGTAAGCTTGAAAAACAGCAGCGTTCTTTGTAGCGAGGCTCTGGGCTGTCTGTATCTTTCCTGCTTTGTTTTGTATTCACTTAATTGCTGTTTGCTGCAGCGTGTAACGGTCGCGGTAAATGCCATGAGCGGGCCTCTCGAGCTGACCCCGAGCTGTTGGCCACACACCGCTGCATCCCACACTACGGCCGACTGCTGCTTCAGTCGTCAGCCACTGCCTCGTTGGCAGCGGCCGACTGCTGCCTCAGTCGTCAGCCACTGTCCCGCTGGCAGCGGCCGACTGCCGCCCCAGTCGTCAGCCACTGTCGCTGACAGCGGCCGACTGCCGCCCCAGTCGTCAGCCACTGTCGCTGGCAGCGGCCGACTGCTGCCCCAGTCGTCAGCCACTGTCTCGCTGGTAGCGGCCGACTGCTGCCTCAGTCGTCAGCCACCGTCCCGCTGGCAGCGGCCGACTGCCGCCCCAGTCGTCAGCCACTGTCGCTGACAGCGGCCGACTGCCGCCCCAGTCGTCAGCCACTGTCGCTGGCAGCGGCAACATTACGGTTGATTCTTACTGTTCGAGCGCCGCCAGAGCTGCCGATTCCGCGTGCTGACAGTACTGGACACTCCCAGCACGGGAGGGGCCGCCTGCCAGCGCTGCACCGTTGCCGTAGATGGTACTTGGGTCGTCCGCGGCCGGCCGCCGTACACACAAACACTGCCTGGCCACTGCATGCAGTGGGCTTCCACCGCCCGTCAGAGGAGGCGTCTCAACAGCCCGCGGTTGGCCTAGCACATCACCGGAGACGCCTGTTCCAATTGTCGTGAGGTGGGCTCAATTCCAATGATAGTTCCCGTGGTGCTTCTATTAAAACACGGAGATGGGAACTGCAACGCCTCGTAATCCCCAACACTGGCGACTGCAAATTTGAGCAGCAGCTAACTCAACAGTACTTCTAATGTTCACGTCTCTGTCATCACTCATGGGCGCTACGTTGTGGTTACAGGGACAGACTCCAAGCTTCCTTTCAGTTGCAGCTGATTTCCGGTTGGTCCTATGCAATCTGAGGATGACATCTATCAATACATATTTAGATAACCGATTTCTACTTTGCCCCGGGGCGTAACGTTAAGATATTTGTCGACATTATAGAAACATCCAAAACAGTGTGCGGTTCCACATTTCATAGACTTTCTGCGCTCTCGAGTCTCCTTTCACATCGGAATCCACCACTGAAAGCATGATATGCCGCAATCATTTGGCAGTGCAAAAGCAAGCGACACGTGAGGAGTGTTTATCCAACTTACAGGTCGCCAGCAGCATGTCACAACATGCCTACTAGACCAATGACGGAGGCGTGCACATCTAGCCGTTAACCGCAACCAAAACGCGCAATCCTAGCCCACAGTCATGAGCGTAACAAAACTAGAGTTTCTCGCACCGCATCAAGATTGCCGCAGCGCCAGGCTCGTAGGGCGCCACTTTCACCGCCGGGTGCAGTCGCGGCGTCATGCCCCTGCTCTCCAGACTGCGGTGGGCGCTGGCCCCGAGACGACGCGTCAGCTGAGAGGCCGCCTCCGTTCGCAGACGATGCTGAAGTGCCTGGTGCTGTTCGTGGTGGTGGCGGCGGCCTCGGCGCAGCGCGAGCTGATCCTGCCCGACCCGCGCGCCTGCGCCAACCGTAAGTGCAGCCGCGCGCACGTCCCCCCCCCCCCCCCATTCCTGCGGCTCGCGCGTGCCTCACGGGTCGGCGTGTTCGCTCCAGCTCAGCGGCAGATGTGAGAGTTGAGGGGAGCTCGGACTTTGAAAGACGGCGGGCTCTGATTACTTCGTCGGAAATCACAAGAATATTGTCATTACTGCCGCGTCTTGTGAGTGCATCGCTCAGGTTTACTGGTTCTCCTCCGTCAGATTAAAAAACCGGGACGTCTTGGTTTCCCATCATTACAGTGTGCAGTTTCGTTTGATCTTCCAGCCTTTTCCCATGTGTGTTGAATTGACTTCTCTTTTACGAATGTACCAAAATCACTCGCTGCAAGAAGACATGTGCTTGGCCTCAACTCTCAAGGACGAGCTCCGCTGCTGTTATTGATGGCCTCTGTGTGATCTGGGATGCGCTGTTGGGATCAAGGCACATGTGTCGCGACAGGACACATCAGAAGGCTCTCTCAAGCGC